GTGTGTGTGTGTGTGTGTGTGTGTGTGTGTGTGTGTGTGTGTGTGTGTGTGTGTGTGTGTTAAAACATGCCGAATCAGCCACCAAGCAGGAATTTTTCTAACTTTTCATACTTTTGTTATTACGCAAACAATCAAAAAGAGTCATCGAGTCAGTTTCAGAGGGTTATATTTTTAATGGTTAAAGAGGAGACAGGTATTTGTATCTTTGCATATCTTTTTACATGTTCAGAATGTGTAACAATTATTTAAATTAAAACAAAGCAAACACAATGTTTTTAATAGGATCCTACCACATTTTAATAAAACACACTGAGAAAAAAGCACATCCACGTAGTTCAATAAAAAAATAATTAAAAAAACATTCACCTTTGTTCTTTTGAAAAAGCAACCATCACATTTTAAAATATGATAGTGATGAGTTTATGTTTTGAAGCCTGTCCTCTTCTAAATTTATATTTATAAAAAATACCCCTCTTGATGGTGTCCTTGCTGTCGCATGCACAGTCAGAGCATGAGTTAATTAGGATCCAAACTTGTTTGAATGTTTCAAATAGGATGTACTTGTGTAAAAGTTCTTGTATGTGAGTTTTTTTTCTTTGCACAATTATCTGACTCACTGGCCTGTGCAAAAAAAAACAAACAAAAAAAAAAAAAACACGGTAATAGAGCAAGGAATATCTGCCCTGTGAGTGCTTTGAAGGAGCCACACGATGAAAACTCTAAACAAATGAGACAAGATTAGCACTGTTGCTTCCCTCTTGCTCTCCTAATAGCGTGCCTTGTGTGTCTCACGCATGCATCTGCTTGATTATTTTAATTTATCACTCTTTATTTGGCTGTTTCACTTAAATTAACTCAGTTTATCAAACACAGTTATGCAAATCAAAACTATAAATGTCACTAGAAAAAACTTGTCCAAGATCACAGAAGTAAAAAATAAAAAAATTGTTTACGTGTAAAAAAGCCACTTAATCTAGATGTTACGATCAATTCTGCTTTAATAGTTGCAATTATTTTCTAAAATCACAAAGACGAATTAAAGCACCACAGACGAAGTCTTATTCAACTAAAAGGAAGCAGACCCGATTCTCTCCATGCTTTTAAGCGCAGGGAAACGGTTTACTCTTTCTATGAAACAAATTTTGTTTTATAGGTTCAGGAGATTCGCTGTGCAGCCAAGGCAACCACGGAGAGCTCCTTATTACGACAACACAGACAGGTGTGGAGCAGAGAACGCCCCAGGCTGCAAAAGGCTGAGTAAGTGCACCCCCCCACCACCACCACCCATTACTGCCTGCCATTATCTGCTGCAGTTTTCTAAATCAGCTTATACACAAAGCAGCTATTCCACTTAAAGCTTTTTTGCACCCAGACAGAAGTCTTTAGAGATAAAAAAAAAAGAGTGTAAAAAGTATGTTAAAGAAGAAAATGTAATAGGGGAGTTAAAGGGAGGGAAGGTGATTTTCCGATAGGGAGGTAATGCTTGTGTGAGGACTCAGTCTGTCCCTCTGTGTTTTGAGGCAGAAGTGTGGGACTGGGGCCCAGGACTGTCATGCTTTGTGAAGTGAGAAGGGCAACTCTGGCTCTGGGGTGCAGCTTGTTTGGCTGCTGTGATGATGACTGTGTCTGAGCCACACAAGGTTAATGATGTACACAACCAGGGGCCTCAGTAATGAGCCGAGTCATGAAGATGTAACACTGCTTGCGTCTGTCCACACACGTATCTAGTTAGAGAAACTTGGGATTCAAACGCCACCTGGGAGAATCGGTGAGCGTATCCCCATGGTTACCGCTGCTTCTTTTTTTATTTTCACAGTCTTGGCAATGTTTTGGCCAGGTAATAAAAAGCCAACAATTACAGGTAACTTCCACTGCAGGTCATTTTATTATGATTCTCTTTGCGCAGATGATGGTAAACTTTTCAGAAAGTCTATCTCATAGATACTCTGTGCATAACAATAACTATTTTAACCTATAATTCTTATTACTTTTTCTTTAAAATATTTTGAAGACAAATAAAGAAATCGCCATCTCCATTTTCTGCCATTTATCTGTAGTCAGGCTGTGGAGGCAACAGGTCCAGAAAAGAAAAACAGACATCCATCTCCTCAGAGACACTTTCCAGGCCAGAGAGGATACATGTAATCCCTCCAGTGAGTCCCGGGTCTTCCCCGGGGCCTCCTACCAGTGGGAATTGCCTGTAATACGTCTAAAGTGAGGCGTCCAGGAGGCATCCTAATCAGGTGCCCGAACCACCTAAACTGACTCCTTTCGATGCAGAGGAGCAGCGGCTCTACTCTGAGCTCCACCCAAATGATGGAGCTCCTCTCCTATCTCTAAGGCTGAGCCCGGCCACCCTACGAAGGAAGCTTATTTCAGCCGCTTGTATCCGGGATCTTGTTCTTTCGGTCGTGATCCACGCCTCATGACCATAGGTGAGGGTTGGCACGTAGACAGACCAGTAAACCGAGAGCTTTGTCTTACGACTCAGCTCTTTCTTCACCACGACGGACTGAAGCAACGCCCTCATTACTGAGGACGAGGCCCCAATTCGTCAATCCATCTCCGGCTCCATCCTACCATCACTCGTGAACAAGACACCCAGATACTTAAATTTCTCCACTTGAGGCAGAGACTCCTGCAACCAGGAGAGAGCATTTCATTATTTCCTGGTCAAGAACCATGGCCTCAGATGTAGAGGAACTCTCATCCATTCGCTTCACACTTGGCTGCGAACCGCCCCAGTGCACGCTGAACGTCTTGGCCTGTAATTTGGTATGCCTGTATGTCTGTGTGTCTCTATAGTGTATTTTAATATGTGATGTTGGAAATCTGTGTTTTTTTTTTAGTTCTGCAGAACAGGAACCTGCTGTAAAACAGCAGCTATGCTGAGCCGGGCCTGATTTATTTAAATCTTTTCCTGTTTTAAAAATCAAATCATATCAAGACACCAACAAAACCAAATCATCCACATAAAGCAGAGATGAAACTCTGTGGTTCCCAAACCAGACATCCTCCTCTCTGTGCCTTGAGATCCTGTCCATAAAGACTACAAACAGGACTGGAGACAAGGGACAGCCCTGGCGAAGCCTAACCCACACTGAGAACGAGCTTGACTTTGTGCAAAGAATGTGAACACAGCTCCTGCTTTGGTTATACAGGGACAAGAAAAACTCAACTAATGCTGGGCCTTTTAATCGTCAGATGAATTTTACCTTCTATTGTTGCCAGTTTTAATGCAGATCCAGATTGGTGGATAAAACACGATCCATAAATTGTCATGTACTTTAAAATGTACCAAGAGTTTTTATGTTCATTTTAAATCCATATCAGTGTTTAATTTAAAATGGGTATATTTCTTTGGTTTGAATGCATTTGTCCTTTATTAAACTAAAAAAAGGCAGTCATTTTGCTAAAAACTTGCCTATTTTTTGTTACTGTTGTCTGGTTTGCTCACAGCGTTACCTTTTGACATTTTGTTTTGTTTAAAATGAGGCATATAAGTTAAGGGACTTATCATGTTTTAGCTTTTAGCATTAAACTGTGCATAAACCAAAATACCCCCTGCTTATTAATATTTAAACTGAGTTTCAGTAATGTCCTGTTTTTGCAAACTACCTTATGTATTGCTCTCATTGCACAGAGAGCAAGCTGAGGATGGATTCCACCATTTCCTAGAGCAGGTCAGGCCTATTGGCATAACAGACACGGCCATCTTCTCACTTCAAGAATATGGTAAACAGCGACAGCATTAAAATTTTCACTCCTAAACATTACTGTTTACATTTACTGTATTAATACACTGTGTGTTTTATATTGTTGTTTAGAGCTGTCTCTGAAGAATGAACAGGAAGCATTCAGAAGAGCCACTGTTGATCCAGTTTATCATCTCAGAGATGACCTGCGCTTCAGACTGAGCAACATGCAACTCAGCAGCAAACTTTCATCAAACTGTGACCAAGTAACACAGCAGGTATATGTGTGTGCTGAAATCAAGGCATGGCTGAATGTTTACAGTTGGATTTACAATGCATTTGTCCTCAAAAGTTGTTGTTTCACTAAAAACTACCAGATTGGCAACATTTCTAAATGTGTGATTGGTTTGCGACCATCGATTTAGCAGACGCCTATTTTCACATAGCGATTCACCCGGAGCACAGAAAATATCTCAGGTTCGCCTTTGAGGGTGTAGCCTATGAGTATCTGGTGCTACCGTTCGGTTTATCGCTAGCTCCTCGCACCTTTTCAAAGTGCGTAGGAGCTGCTTTGACTCCCCTCAAGGAAAGTGGGGTCCGTCTGTTAGCATATTTAGACGACTGGGCTCTGATCGCAAGCTCCAAGGAGCAAACATTAGATCAGCTGTCTCAGGTTCTGTCACACATTCAGGCTTTAGGGATTTTAGTAAACACCCAGAAAAGTCTATTAACACCAAGTCAGCAGCTTTCGTTCCTCGGACTAGAAATCTGCTCCTTGTCAAGCAGGGCTCGCCTCTCAGAAAACAGAGCAGCCATTTTTCACCGCTGCTTAGCTCAGTTTCAACTGGAACGCAAACTGAGCTTCAAAACGGTACTACAGTTACTGGGAATGGTGGCTTCCATGATTTCAGTAGTACCACTCGGGCTGTTAAAAATGCGCCGTTTTCAGCATTGGTCTCAGTCCCACAGGCTGTGTCCGTCTCGACACAGACGCCTCCCTGAAAGGTTGGGGAGCCCTGTGCAATGGCGTGGCGGTGAGGGGAACCTGGACTCCACAACAGTCCAGGCTCCACATAAACTGCCTAGAATTGTTAGCAGTCCTGTTAGCACTGAAACATTTTTGTCCAGTTCTGGAGAACCATCATCTTCTAATCAGAATGGACAACACAGCAGTGGTCTCTTATATAAACAGACGAGGAGGGACTCGGTCCCTTCCCCTGCTGAACCTGTCTCACACTCAGTGTTCATTTTCTGTCTATCACAGTCATTCATGTTCCGGGGAGACTGAACCTAGGTCCAGACATTCTCTCCAGGGGCGGACCTCTAGCAAAGGAGTGGAGGCTGCATCCCACTGTGGTGGCCCAGATTTGGGTTTTGTTTGGCAAAGCGACAGTAGATCTGTTTGCTTCCAGATCAAACACACACTGTCCTCTGTTCTTTTCCATGACAGAGCAGAGCGCTCCTCTGGGAGTGGACGCCCTAGCTCATCCTTGGCCCGATGTACTTCTGTATGCGTTTCCCCCAGTGGAAATGATACCACTTGTACTAGAGAGGGTGCACGGACAGAGCCTGTCTTTGATCCTAGTGGCACCCCGCTGGCCAGCGAAGTCTTGGTACGCCGAGATAATCAGCTTGCTAGCAGCTCAACCCTGGCAACTTTCGGTTCAACGAGATCTCCTCTCTCAGGCAGAGGGGGAGATTTTTCACCCACACCCAGAACTATGAAAGCTGCATGCTTACCTGCTGAAAGGTCCAGCTTATTAGCTAAAGGCCTTTCTCCAGCAGTAATAGCAACTATCCAAAACGCAAGAGGATTATATTTCTACAAGTGGCAAGCTTTTGAGTGATGATGTAAGAACGGGCACCTGGACCCTTTTCAGTGCACAATAGGAGATGTTTTAACATTTCTTCAGGAGCTACTGGATAAAGGGCTCTCCTTCTCCACAATTAAAGTCTACTTAGCAGCCATTTCTGCCTGCCATGTAGGTTTTGATGGGGTCACACCTGGTGCTCATCCTTTAGCCGTGCGTTTTCTGAAAGGAGTTCATAAGCTACGGCCTGCTATTAAACCCAGTATTCCCTCTTGGGACCTCACTGTGGTTCTTGAGGCTCTCTGTGACCCTCCATTTGAGCCTCTAGAGTCTGTAGAGTTGAAGTTTCTTTCAAATAAAGTTGCTTTGCTTCTGGCTTTAGCTACAGCTTAACGGGTCGGAGACCTCCACGCTCTGTCATTGAACCCCTCCTGTATCCAGTTTTCTACTAATGACTCTAAAATGGTTTTGCACCCTAACTTTGCGTATCTTCCTAAGGTGATACCTTCTAGTTAAAGCTCTGTGTCTGTAGAGCTTTCCAGCTTTCACCCCCCCCCCCACCTCCTTTTGCATCTGAGGAGCAAAAGAGGCTGCATCTTCTGTGCCCCGTACGTGCTCTACGCACTTACATCGGCCGCACACAGGATGTAAGGTCATGTGATCAGCTGTTTGTGGCTGTTGCTAACCCACACAGAGTTAACGCTCTTTCTAGACAAAGACTCTCTCACTGGATTGTAGAGGCCATCTTGCTAGCATATAGTAGCAAAAGACCTTCCAATCCCTCTTGGAGTTAAAGCTCACTCCACCAGGGGTGTAGCGACATCTTGGGCCATTTTTAAAGGGGTACCTGTGAGTGACATTTGTGCCGCTGCCAGCTGGGCCTCACCAAACACTTTTGCACGATTTTACAGACTGGATGTAACAGCATCTTCGGTGGCTCATTGTGTACTTTCTGCCGGGTCCAAAGCTCTGCATTAGTACAGTACTTACTCAGGCACACTACTTAACTCAGGTCTGATAATGCTCTGCGGGGCCCTTTGACAAGTCCCATATACAACTGTGTGTTGTACTGAGTGAAATGACTGAAAAGGAANRYAAGGTTATGAATATAACCACGGTTCCTTGAAGGAATGGAACGAAGTGCAACACCTTGTTGGCCCCGCATCACAAAACGCTCGGTGAAGGGTGGTATCTAACTGAGTAATGACGCTGGTGACTCTGAACTTATGGGGTGAAGGCGGAGCCTKTCACCCGACGTTCAACGTCACCGCTCTAAAGACGTGATTAGAGGTGGCTTCAGCCAGGCGCGCGAGGGCGCGCGTGTCCCATATACAACTGTGTGTTGTACTTTGTTCCATTCCTTCAAGGAACCGTGGTTATATTCATAACCTTACGTTTCCCTTTAACTCAGAAGCTTTTTGCAGGCTCTAGAGTTGAATGGTGGGATTAAGGAGTTAGCCGAGGTCTTTAAAGACGGACCATACTGTGTCTTAACCGTCTGCCAGACACTTTGTCAGCTTTGTGTAGCTCACTCCGTCTCGTTTCTTTCCCATGCCTTCCATGTCTCTCGTTATCTTGTCTCGACTGCTCACACACTAAACTAGCCACCCTGCTTATTAGTATTTTTTCACATCTTTTCTTCTTTCATCTGTTTTTCTCCCTACATTTCTTCAGAGAGGTTGCTATGTAATTATGCTGCCATATCGGGGTATTTCAAACAAAAGCCAAAAAGTTAAACAAATCTAAGATGCCATAAAAATGAGTGATACTTTACAAAAGGCAATCAGCTGGTCTGGTAAGTTTACCTCATGCTGTGTGTCTGGGTATGAAACACACTTTGAATGGCTGAAACTCTAATAACTGCCCTGTTTAATTAAATATAATGGTCAAGGTCGCTTAGAAACCTCACAGTTGTTCACGTTCATTCTTCCTTGATGCAGTTCCATTGCTGCTTATGTGGGTAACCTGTACCTGCATATGACAAACAAACTCATTTCCTTTTTTTTTTTTTGCTGGTTTTATCCTTGCATTTCCAGATAAACTTTGTGAAAGAGCAGCAAGATGACATACTTGCAAAGCTTCATGCAGAGTACCTGGAAGTGGAGAAGGAGGTCATGGCCATCGGTTTAGAGGTACTTTTGTCTCTTCTAGATAAAATATATTAAATTCTTCAACATATTACCATTTTCAGACTGAGTTTAGGTACTGTTATTGAGCTTGGGGACTATCCAATGCAATGTGTTACCAACACGCAAAACTATTGAACTAAAGGTTTGGTCATGTGTTTGTGTCAGTCTTTGATCTAATTCTCTCTCTGTATTTCTCTATAAATCAAACAGCATCATCTTTGATCATCATTTCACTTTTGTTTTAATTAAATCAAACTTTATAAAGAAAGATTGATGAAGCTTGAGCTATTTTTGACTTTATCAGTTTCACCTTTATTGCATACTGCTTCATATTTGCATAAAAATATTATTACTGTATCTTTTTCTTTATTCTGTGCAGGCTTTTCTTAGAGGAATTTTCCACTGATATGCCTAAAAACACAAAAGACGGTCATTTTTCTATACGTACTCCTGTTCCTCCAAACAAACCTTTAGTTATTGTGTCCTAACCAAATATGTTCAATCTGAGTCTATTCCTGTTTTGTACAGATATTTTAGCTTAATTATATTTACTTTTCTTCTGAAAACAATGTAACGTATTAAACTGTTCAAACAAGTAAGCATTGCAGCTGAACTGAATACCTCTTTGGTTGTGCTTTTTAGAAATATCTCATTAGTGCTTCGGAGAACTCAGAAAGCATTCCCAAAGAGGTTTTGAATGCAGACTGCCCTTACCCAGAACTGAAGGACTCTCTGATCCAGGCCTTTCAGTCCCTCTCAGAAAGGTACCAAAGAGGACTTCAGAGTCTGCAGGAGCAACTTCAGAAAACTGACAGGTATTTAAAGTCCACTTCTGTTTAAAACTTTAAGCTCTTACACCTTGAATTGTTTCCTTGATTACTATATAAAAAGAGGATAAAATATTACACCGAAAGCAGAATTCAGGTTTGACTGAACAGAACAAAATGAAATAAACTGCCACAGTTAGTTCATTCCTGAGCAAACTGTTTATTAAGATGATTTCTCGCCAGGAGGCTGATTATGTAAAGTTCATTTATATTATTTTCCACAAGGCAGCTATTTTAGGGCCATTTATGCACTGTAGTTATGCTGCAGTTGCTTTTATTTTATTTTATTTTTACATTTTTCTGTCTTGTGTATTTCTATGTTGAATTTCTTGAAGGTTCTGTGGCTGGTGTCCAGAAGACCATGAACATTTCCAGTTCACAGTGTCCATGTACACTCACGACACACCCAACCACAGAGCGCTCTGCACGGACATGCTGCTGAGACGGTTCCCTGAGAGGACGAGACTGGAACTGGTCAGTAAGATCACTCAATAATCAATACTCAGTTATTGGTAGTTTTTAAAAAAAATTTAAAGAGACATTTTTTATTTTATTGAATAAAAGTGACGCCGCAGAGTGCACACACATTTCTGCACACATGTCGAGCCATTTCCAAAACATTGTGCATTTGTTTCAATCAATGCTTTTGGTCAGTATTTTTTGTATTTGTCCTGATTTTATGAATTTATTAGATTTTTTAAATAATATATTTACTAAGAATTTGGGCAAAGTATTACATAAAATAATTGGTCCTCATTTATTCAGCAAAGATTGGTTGAGAGCATTGTTCTRTATTAGATTCCTGTTAGCAATCACATAAATATAGGTTTCCATTAAAGGTGCCTATTGTGTCCTTATTTTTATTTGCTAAAATAAAACTGTGTTTCTAGATTTTTTTTTTCAAAGCTGAATTTCTAAAGATTTAGAGTATCATTTTGTAAATTTTACCTTTTGTAAGTTTAAGCCATGTTAGTTTTGCTCATTCTTACATCCACATTATTTGTGACCCATCATATTGAAATGAGGATTAAGTCAAATTTGGTCAAAATGACCTCATCACATTTTCAGATTCTTGGCTTTAAAAGCTACATTTTGATTCCTGGATCATTCTGATATCTTAAACGGAACCAGAGATATGACGTAATTTATCTTGTTGGTTACGATAATACATTAATATTTGGTCTGAATCCTAATTTTATGTCATTTTTATGAGGATTTTTAAACTTTCATTATGAAGAGGATATCTCAAATAGTTTTTGAAAATTGACATTTCCTAGCTGGGAAGAAACAAAAACTTTGCTAGCTCACAAAGAAAATCTCAAAATTTAAAGACGTTCTTCCTCAAAATC